GGACAGAGATGAATTTTGGGATTTAGGAAGTTTATCCAAGTCAGCCCATCACCATCAGAATGCTCAAAAAGCAATTGTTGATTAACTTAAAAGCCAAGGATCAGTTGCATGACCCCACCATCACCCACTTCATCCAAAAGGACAGGAGGATTGATCTCATTATGTTTTTTCCATTGTTGTATTATGTGCAGGTGTTATTTTGGCATACGCTCGTCCCCGAAGACATTACTTCCATTCAGTTTAGCCGCTTGCAAACTTGCATACTTTTATCAAAGTTTCAATCAATCTGCAGGTTGCTGATTTAAATGGTGTCCGGTGTCTTGTCTGGCAGCTGGTCTGGGGAGAGGGCCTACTCTTATTCTCTTTTACGGCCTGACCTTAGACCGGGTTGTAATATTTCAATCTTCATTCAAGTTCTGCTCTGATCAAAGGGTAAGTTGTTTAAAATCTCACAGGCCGCTGTGCCCGCTGATTTTATTCTGGCGTCGCTGACACTGTTTGTGCAATGTGAAGGTTTATTTGGGAAAACGGCTGTTATGTGGAATTAGTGGTCATTTTTCTGACACTGATGTATCTGACTCTCATGGCTGCTTGGCTGAGTGGACACTGTTGTGATGTGAAAGCTTGTATGAAATGTTGGTTGTGTGGTAAGTGGCAGTGACTGTCATGCATTTTCTGAAGAGCACATGATGATGCAATTATTTGGAAGGAGGATTTGCATTTTGCCCAAGAAATTAGCTGTTCTGTTTGTGTGCTAACCCTGTCTGTGCTATTTGCTTGTTGCGTTTCTAGGGCTGAACTATCATCTTAATTTTTGTTTCTTAACTTTGGCAGTACTTTAGGAGGGGCCTGCCAGTAAACTAGGCTGAGGGCCGAGGTTTAAGAGTCATGGTTCACTACTGCATTCAACAGTGTGTAGTGCAGTTTGACACATTTTGCTGTTCATACAATCTTACAAGGTGAAAAGAAATGGGAATATGAGAATTTAGGTCTGGGTGAAAGAGCACGTCTGAAATTCTTTCTTATTCTTCATTCTACACCTTATAAATTCCCCTCTCTTTTGTCTGTTTTGATTTCCTGCAGATCTGTGATAAAATGCTGCTTGATTAACAGGAAACAAATAAAAAAAAATTGATCACAAGAAAAAAAAAATTCCCCTCTCTCCCTTCAGTTTCTTCTGACAAAACTTTGCAAAATGTGTTTTAGAGTTGGACTAAACATTTCCACAGTTAAAGCTAATCATAGGCTTTTATTTTTAGCCCCTAAGATACAGATTGAGTGTATACAGTTTAGTCAGTTCAGCTGTCTTTGTGTAGATTATGAATTTTAACATTGTGAAGGAAAAACATGCTTTTAATTAACTTATTTGGATCAGCAATGACACTATGAGAGGTCTACAAGTCCTAAAATGGGTTGTACATTTTACACAAATTACATTGAGCTGACTAGAAAATGCACAGGTGCCATAATCACTTACACTCTTTATTTGACAGAAATACTAAAGAAATGATACATTATCGTACATGTTAACCTCTATAGTGATGAAGTTCAGAGAATTGTTTACCCATGATTGAGATCAGAGTGGAGAGAAAAAAGATTAGCTGTAGCTCCATCACAATTACAGAGACTCTGAGAGGGGCAGACCCCCTCACTGCCTCAGAGAGCTTTACTAATGTGCTGGCGTCAATGTAGAACAGTGTAAAGTGACAATGTTCTGCACTTAAAATCAATTTAACCTTATAGTATGAATTTAACCTTGGTATTTAAGTCATTAAGACCTAAATACCAAGATGGAGCCCTCAACCACTTTCATTTAATAACACTGAGCACATTCGGACTGATAACAACAGATTTCACAGAGTTTATTTCTATAGAATTAATCACTCTCAGTGATCATTCAACTAATTCATAGAACTGTGAAGCATCATTGTGTCTCCCTGGTAAGTTTTATTGTGTGCCTGACAGACATTGACATGATTTTATCACTGCCAGTCTGCTCGTGTTGGTTTTCCTGTGGTTAGTCTAGTTTCTCTTCATTAGGTTCTCACGCTGTTCTGTATATGGAAATCAGTAAAAATGCCACACTGCAGCACAGATGCTGAGTCTCACCATCAGTCTGTCTCACTGACAGACATTGACATACTTTTTTCAATGCCAGTCTGCTGATGCTGGTTTTCCTGTGGTTAGTCTAGTTCCTCTCAGCTTTTCATGCTGTTCTGTAAATGGAAGTAAAAATGCCTCACTGCGTTTTTAGTTTTAGAGTTTATTTCTATAGAAATAATCACCTTTATTGATTAATTAACTAAGTAGTCGAACTGTAAAGCATCATTGTGTCTTCATATTATGTTTCTCCTGAGTGCCTGATAGACATTATGTTTTTTATGCTTATTAAGTTCCTGTTGGTTTTCTGCTGTGGTTAGTGTTTCTGTCTGCTCTGCACTTTGATTTTGACATTGTATTATGCAGTATTCTGCCAAAATTTAAAATGGCTTATCTGGACAATACTGTAAAAATAAATAAATAAATAAATAAATGCCAGTTTGAGGCAGTTCTTCACTTACTAAAAAGCCTTCACCTCACTAAAAGCCTATTTTAACACCAACAAAAAACACTGCTCTGGGGCATCACTGATCAAACAGGCTTAAGTAGAAGAGCAGGAGTATCTTTAGTGATGTTTATTGACATATGCATAAACACTATTTGCAAATGCATTCATATGCACTAATAAAATATTTACTTACACAAGATAGTGTTCTACAGGGAGATTCACTCGAAAGAGGCCCCAAATATTCTGTAATAACTCTTGCTAGGATGAAGCAATCACAACGAAACAACGTGCAATGTGATCCTGAGTATATGGAGCTTTGGACAAGCCAGGATACCCCTGAGTCAGAGAGGTGAGGTGGACGCCAGACAGCCGTTGTTACGTTTAACCTCCATTTGCAACTTCCAGGTGCATACACCCGTTCCCCTTCATGTGTCTGGCAGAAAATGAAGACCACTTCCAGCATGGAAGGTATGTAGCATATTCATTGGTTCGGGTTGCTTCATCCTAACGAGAGTTACAACGGAATATTCAGGGCCTCTCTTGAGTGAATTTACCTGTTGTGCATTCAGTCAGTTGACTTCTGAGAAGGTGCAACAGTGATGCTAGAGGTCTGTACAGCTACAGCCTGCAAAAAAGTGATGTGCTAGAATGAGAGAACAGCTTATCAGGTACAGCTATACAGTAGAGTAGATTATAATCAGAGATTACAGAATAGAGTATTATGTACTTTAACAGCTATAATAAACTGTAATAAACTGTGTAACACCGTCCATGTCTTTAAGATGATTTGGTCAGTCTTTCTCTGATGTGGACAGTGATGACTGCAGACAGCATGAGGGTCAGAATGATGGAATACAGCACAGTCTTCAGAAAACACACAGATACACCAGCAGAGGGAGACACTGAACCTGAAACACACACAACAAAACCCACTGTTGTATTAAATATGATGACAAGAGAGAAAAGAAATAACTAACTGTGTTTCAGTCTTCAGTTTATTCTCTATTCTATTCAGTTAAAATATGTTTGTCATTTTCAAAGGAAAATCTTTCAAAAATCACAAGGTTAACATACTGTGTTATGCAGAGTTTTTTCCCAGCCTGGAGACGAGATGCAGTGTGTGGAATCGAGACATCTTAGAAAATATAATTTTATTGAATTATCTTCCCTGACTATAGGTACTGACATGTGCCCTTGAGGGTACCACCCCAGTGACAAGAGGGCTACTGCCCCAGTGACAGTTTACTAACTTTTTTTTTCTGAGAGTGCACTTTTGAAAATGCACACTTTGGAGTGGCCAAACTTTTGCATACAAGTGTAAATATACAGGCACATTAACAACACCACTAGTGGAGAGAATGCAGTGCCACTTTTTATTTGAATGGACAACTGACATCCAGTGTAACTGGCTGTGAGGAAGCAGACTCAGAAACTTGTGAAGAATCCATGTGCAGATTTATTAACAACAGGCCAGTTCAAAACTCGTGGTAAAAAAGGCAAAGCAAAAAAAGTTGTAACAGAGAAATCAGCCCAAAAGGCCAGGCAGACAGAGCAAATAGGAAAAAAAGCAAAAGCAGATTCCAAAAGGTCAGGCAGAGGTTCAAAATACCAACAAGACAGACAAGCAAAATCAGTAGTCAGACTCAAAAGAACTGGCAATACTTCACACAGACTGGCTGAATGGGAGGAGTATTTAAGGTGGCTTCATTCTGGGAACAAGGCTAGTACTCAGGTGAGGGAGACCTCTGGTGGCCAGATAGTGAATTGCTAACAGTGGCTCATTAACACGAGTTCAATGATATATTTTTTATTTTTTATTTTTTTTTTATTTTTTATTTTTTATTTTTTTTTGTGTGTGTAATTTTATCCACCTCCTCCAAAAACTTCTGTTACTCCAGATGGAGATCAGTGAAAATGCCACACTGTCTGCAATGAAATGTAATCAGGAGGAAGATGCTGAGTCTCTCAAGAACACAGAAGAGCAGATTCATGATTCAGCAGCGGAGATTACCAACAACATATGTTTTGATTTGGGTTTGTTCTGAACTGAAACTGTATTTTTCCTGCATTTATTCCACCTGAACATCCACAGTGTGATGATATCTGCCCCTGTGATGACAAAGAAGAGCAGATAAATCTGCCTTTGTGTTGGATTCACTTGATAATTTGATCATATCATATTTATTGAACTGAGCTCTCTAGCTAACTTTAAAGTAGCATTTATAATTGCACACATTCACACAAACATCGTCACCCAGAATGATGAGTAAACTGAAGCAGTCTTTACACTTTCTCTTGAAACTGAGCAAGAAAGACACTTGTTTTCTAGCTGCTAGCATTCATGCTAATAATGCTAGCATTGTAGATTCCAAGTTATGAAGTGATAATCCTAAAAACAGCAATCATCACATCACAATTCTGTTCCAGTTTACATTCTGGTGCACTTGAACTGCTAGTTGACTTTATCCTCACCTGGAAGAGATAATGGAGCTAAATAACACTGATCATACCGGAAGGTGAGAACAACTGACAGACAGCTTTAATAAATACACAGTAAATACTCACCACTGTGTTTCTGCATCTGTTATTAGAGCTTTTGTTGTTTCCTTAAGACGACTGTTTCAATTAATGCATTGACTGCTTTTTTCATCATGTTAAACCTACAGTAGGCAGATCATGTTGCTTCATTTAATTGGGTGTGTAGTAAGGATGATTTTAGAGGCAGTGTTTGTGTCTGTGTGTATCTGTGTTCACACCTTCACCTTCATCAGCACAGAGTCGTTCCAGTTCTTTCATCTCCAAAACATCCGTCTTCCAGCTGACTGGGTTGCTATGGTTACAGATGATGGTGCTGCCACTGACAGACAGGGAAAGGATGACACCTCCAGGTGATGTCACTTCCTTCTCCTCACAGGTTTCCTTGTAACAGCTGGAGTTGATAGAGAGGTCATGGCCTCTACAGGTGAGAGTGATGTTACAGGTGTCTCTGCTTAGCTGGTGAGTCAGGACTGGCGCCTCCTCTGGATCTGAGGTAGAAGATATACAGACACATTACTGTAATGCTGACAGTCAGTCAATGATAAATCATTCATCATAGATCACAGAGTTCATTAAAAGTCTTTCAGAACTGGTCAGTATCTTTCAAAGTAGCCTAGATCTATCTGGACGTTGGTGATGGTGTTGATAATGCAACCAAATGAAGAAGTCAGAAGATATTATACTGCCCTGGTTCTCAGTAATAATTTTAATTGCGAACACGTGTGGGTTCACTTGCCATTATAGATATCAGTTAAAATAACTATAGTTGCATTGTAGACATTGTTATTCCTGGTTTCATTAACATTAAGAAAGTTAGTAAGTTTTGTATATAATGAAGCATTTCACATTAAACCACTCTGAATTTATTTACATAACAACAATTGGATCATGCAGAAAGTTTAAAAAAATCAGTGGAATTCTGTTTTAATCAGGCCAAACACTTCTGTTCATTTGCTTAAAATGACTCCCTACAATGCTGTGGCCTAAAATCTTAAGGTGAAAGTGAAAAAAATTGAGTTTAAATTTCAGCACTTATATTTTTGACAGATGCGGAATTTAAATTCAGCTTTTTAACCCAGAGAAAAACTATAGGTCAATTCTAGTCTCCCTAACTTCAGAATGGTTTAAGCTACAGACATGACCCACATATCAGGACATTCAGGAGGCCCGCCCCTAACTAGTGAGTGTGACGTCACTGAGCTGTGATGTTAGCATCAGTGAGTAATTCAGCTTGGAAAATCACCCAAAATCCTGATACTGTTGCTCTGCTTTTTGCCCTTCATATTCCAACAAAGGGTTAGAACAGCCACATGGTTCATACATCAGATCACTCATCAGACTCTGCACTTACAGTCCAGAGTGATTTCATCTACCTGTGACCATCCATCAGCCAGAAATCCAGCTCCAAATTCACCCAAACCCCACTCTCTACTGTAATACTACATTTCTGCTTTTAGCTTTCATATTATAAACAAAGGGTTAAAAATAGTGACATGATTCACACATCAGAACATCACTAGCCTCACATCAGGAGCCTACCATCACTACCTAGGATGAGAGAGACCAGCTCTAACGTCACACAAACCAGAAATACAACTCCAAACACGGCCAGATCACTGTAAAACCTGCTATCAGCTCTCTGCTTTAACCTTTATATGGCAAAAGAAGTGTTAAATATGAATTACACCATTTTTTCTAAATCTCTGCATAATGAATTGGTTATGATGTAAGAAAAGTCATTCAGAGTGGTTTAATGTGAACTGGTTCATTGTAGAGAAACTCAGTCAGACTTGTTCACAGTGGTGGTGATGGGAACCAGACGTCTGAATAGTTTAATGACTCTAAAAGCCTCTTCACAGAAATTTATTACATTACATAGTTATGAATGCACTGCTTAATGCCCGAGATGTTTTGGCCTAAAACATCGTTCATGTTTCTTGGTGGGAAGGTACATGCAGGGCGTTGTCAAATGTTCCTTAAAGAAAACTTATTTTTTAACATTTTATTATTTTATATGTGAAGTTGATGATGATTCATTGTATTATTTGACTACCGTAAACATCACATATAAAAACATTTTAAGACGATGTATTTGGTTATGCATCTTGTGATATCAGGAAATCTCAAGAGACTTAAACACAATTCATTGACTTGATTGACTTTGGTTTATTTAATGCTTGGAATACATTCTTTTAAAGCTATTTCTTTAATTTTAAATTCAATTAATATGAGTTAGATTTTTGTTTTTTTAAGTTCTTAGGTTTAGAATGTACTTGAACACAATTTAGTGCCCTCCTGGGTTCACATTTGGGCAGAGGCCTTGGGGAATCCCCTAGTGGAAAGTCTGAGCATGAGGTGACACTCAGGCCTACTGATGTACGTTTCTGTGAAGTTTACCTCCGTGGGTTTTTTTTTACTAGCATTACTAAACAGGGGTTTTAATTTCATATCTGTTTCTCAACACACTGACTGTGTTCAAAAGCCTGCAGTTCAGTGATTACTTAAGCTGAATCAACAACTACTATGTAATTGCTATTTCACTACTATGTAACTGCTGTTTTACTACTTTGTAACTACTATGTTACTATGCTGTACTGTGTAACTGCTATGAATCATTCAGTGATTTACCAAGAAACTAATTTGTACATTGTGTAAGACATGAAAATGAGGAACTGAAGTGTGGACCCCCACACTGTACTGTGTCTGTCATGAAATGTTGCATCTCTGATGTTTTTCCTCTCAGTTCTTTGCCTCAACTTAACTGAACTGTGAAAAGTTTTCCATACAATTAAAAGGGAATTTTGTTGACCCAATATAAAGTAATTAAATTTATGAAATTGAGCTCAACTCATTAAAACTGATTTAGTAGTTGTTTGTTTAACTGATGCCTGTCCAACTTTATCTTTCTATAATCATGTTAGATTTGTTTAGAAGCACATCCAGCAATAGAGAATGTGGTAAAGCAAATATTAACAAGCTTTTAAGATTAATCAAATTATAGAATGCAATCATACAACAAAACAAAAATAGCCAATGACGAAAAAGAACACAGAAAAAAAAAGCAGAAAGGAAATGCCCAGTATGCAAATAGACGGAGCCACGAGCCAATAAAATCTTTAAATACAAGAAATTAGCAACAAACAACACAATTCATTCTCTCCTTTTTTGACTTTGGCTTGTTTAATGCGTGGAATACAGTCTTTTAAAGCTATTTCTCTAAATATGTTTTAAAATGTGTCCATTCAATTAATGAGTTTGATTTTTTTTTTTCTTAGTTTTAGAATGTACTTGTACACAATTTAGTGCCCTTCAGGGTTTACATTTGGGCAGAGGCCTTGGGGAATCCCCTAGCGGAAAGTCTGAGCATGAGGTGACACTCAGGCCTACTGATGTACGTTTTTGTGAGGTTTGCCTCTGTGTTTTTTTTTTTATTTTTTTTTTTACTAGCATTACTAAACAGATGTTTTAATTTCATATCTGTTTCTCAACACACTGACTGTGTTAAAAAGCCTGCAGCTCAGTGATTTACTTAAGCTGAATCAACAACTACTATGTAATTGCTATTTCACTACTATGTAACTGCTGTTTTACTACTTTGTAACTACTGTGTTACTATGATGTACTGTGTAACTGCTATGAATCATTCAGTGATTTACCAAGAAACTAATTTGTACATTGTGTAAGACATGAAAGTGAGGAACTGAAGTGTGGACCCCCACACTGTACTGTGACTATTTCTGTATGAAACACAGTATCAGGTAGGGTCTCAGAGCTAGATGAGCATTTCAATTGATAACTGATGCTATTGGTTAATATTATTTCTCTCTCTGTTGAGGTTTGCCTCTAGTGTTTTTGTTTTCAGTAGCATAGACAGGGGTTTTCATTTTTGATTTTGTATTAGTCTAAATTCTTCTTACATTTAATGCTGCTGCACATTGGGAACGCCACGACATGCCTCACGCCACGCCTCACGCCACGACGTTCCCTTTACTTTTATGGGAGGGCCAGAACCCCTCCAGACCCCCTCAATTGAATCAATGGCACAGACTTTGCCTACATTTCACTTGAGAGCTCAAAGATGTGAGCAAATATAAACAAATAATAGTAATAAAATACACATCCTTAACAGGCATATAGTTGGTGTTAATATAAGTAAAGATATAGATGACAGAATGAGTTCTAGTGTTTGCTGAGCAGATTTGTGGTTCAGTGGCCGCATAAGGAGGAAACTAGCCTTTCACACAAGCAAGAAGCTGTTAATCACACATCTGCAGAGCTGAACGGAAAAATAAAAACAAAACAAAACAAGTCACAAAAGAGCTCACTTTAACTAAACATTGGTTTCACTAACTTAATCTTTCTCTTTGAGGTTTAAACACTGAGCAAAAGTAAAATGACCATGAATCAAGTGAAATATGTTCGGGGGAGGATGAGGAAACCTCAGATGATGAAGAAACAGAGAACAAAGAGAGGCTGTAGGATGGTATGCTATGCAGTTACAAAAGAGTTAAAAAGATTTTTAAAGTATCTGTTACCATATGATATCTGCCCCACATAAATGTATTAAGGTTTGTTTTCAATGAGAGAGAGAAGTTTTTTTTACTGGTTTTTGTAAGCCTCATGGTTTACTCGACTCAATTTTGCGCATGGTTAAATTAAAAACAGATAAAAGTACAGCATCTTAATAACAGCAGTGTTGTGTCAGGACTGCATGTTTATTCTCACTGACTGATTTTCTATAAGACTTACCCAACACAGAGAGTCTGTACTCAGCAACAACTCTGACCTCATCACCAGACGCTCTTACTTCATACAGTCCACTATCAGTCTTCTGTAAGTTCTTCAGTGTCAGGCTGTAGGTTTCCTCATTGAACTCCACTCTGCCTCCATAATCAGAATAGTACATCATATTTTTTCTTTTGTTATCATATTGTACAACATTATTTTCTCTGTTAATCACCCAGAATAAGTCATGAAACTCTGGTTTGGGATCCTGTATGTCCAGTTGAACAGAACTGCCAACCAATCTGAACATCACTGGACACTGTGTAGAGAAAAGAATAGAAAATATAATATCAATAAAATCAATAAGACCTTTATACTGTCTGTGAGTACATAAATCTAGGACTAACAAGTATTCAGACACTTTTGTTTTTGTTATTTACTATGCAGTCATATGCAAATGTTTGTGCATATTTGATCAAATGACATTTTGTTGATTTTCTAAGTGAAAATAAGTTACACATCCTCTACAGAGAACTCACTTCTGCACATTTAAATGTAGAATTGCTGTTTACATGCTGAATTTAACATATTGGGGAATAAAATAAATAAAACATGGAATGTGGCCTGTGCAAAAGTTATAGACCTTTTAAATGTTATATATTTTTTTCAATATCATTCAATAAATAGTACATTCATTAAAGATAAAGATTTATTCTAAACCTACATCAACCATGTGAAAACGTAAATTCCCCCTCTAATCTTAATAACTGGTTGTGCCATCCTTGGCAGTAACAACTACAGTCTTTTTGCGATAACTTGTGCCATATCTTTTACATCACTGTGGAGGAATTTTGGCCCTCTCTTCTTTGCAGAACTGATTTAATTCAGCTTCATTGCAGGGTTTTGAGGATGAACTGCCCGTTTAAGGGTTTGCCATGGGATCCCAATAGGATTCAAGTCAGGACTTTCACTCGGCCACTCCAAACCTTAATTCTGTTTCTTTTGAGCCATTCAGATGTGGACTTGCTTGTGTGCTTCGGATCATTGCCCTTTTGCATAACACAACTGTGCTTGAGCTTTAGGTCACGAACTGACAGGTGGACACTCTCCTTAAGGATTTTCTGATAGAGAGCAGAATTCATGGTTCCATCATTTATGACAAGTCGTCCAGGTCCTGTAGAAGCAAAGCAGCCACAGACCATCACACTACCTCCACCATGCTTGACTGTTGGTATGATGTTCTTATTATTGAATATGGTGTTAGCTTTACGCCAGATGTAACGGAGCCTAAGTCTTCCAAAAAGCTCCACCTTTGACTCATCAGTACACAGAAAATGATCCCAAAAGTCTTGGGGGTCATCTAGATGTTTTTTGGCCAATTTGAGATGAGCCTTTGTTTTCTTTTTGTTCAGCAGTGGTTTGCGCCTTGCAGCTCTGCCATGGATGCCAGTTTACAAACTTTTTGTTGATTATTTAAAAGATTGTGTGTAAATTCAAAGAGAATATTAACTAACAAAAAATAAGTGTTTGAATGTTTCCTCTCACTGCAATTAACTCCTCCAGTGTTCAGAGGAGTGATCATGTGCAGTAAAGCTAATTATATCGTATAAAAGGCTACATGTAATACTAATGAAACAGTAAATGCAGCAGGAGGACTAAACTCAGTAAACAAAGTAATCAAATAACACAAATGATATTAAATAGTATGTAGTCTAGTTTGCTGTTCAAACAAGCTTACAAGGTGAAAAGAAATTGAGTTAAGAAATAACTTAAGTGTGGTTGAAGGACCACATCTGAAATTCTTTCTTCCTCTTCTTCTATGCCCAAGAAATTCCCCCCTCTCTCTTAAGTTTCTTTGTAAAATGTGTCTTAGAGTTGGATTGTAGGTTTGCTCAGTCGAGGCTAAACATAGGCTTTTATTTTTAGCACCTAATATGTAGATTGAGGGTATAAAGATTAGTCAGGTCAGCTCTCTTTGTGTACATTATGTCTGATAAAAATATGGAGGATTAAACCTTTTAATTTACTTATTCAGCTCACCAGAGACATTAACAGAGATCTACATGTTGTACACATCAAAATAATATTCTTCAGCACAAATTCTATTCAGGTCATCAGAAAATGCACACTTGCTACAACCACTTACACTCTTTGTTTGGCAGAGAGTCTCAAAAGTGATACATTCTCATACAGTTTAACCTCTATAGTAATGAAGTTCAGAGAATTGCTTACCTGTGACTGAGATCAGAGTGGAGAGAACAAAGATCAGCTGCAGCATCATCGCTGTTGGAAACAGTGTGACATACTTGCTCTTTTGCACTGATGGATGATATTCTGATAGACCCCTTTACTCCCTCAGTGAGGTCTTCTAATGTGCTGATGTTCACTTTACAATGAAGGAGGGAGTTTTGCCTCAGAGAGGTTTTTATGTGCTGATGCAGAACTTTTAAGTACAAAGTGACAAAATATTTAACATTAAAAAATGCAATTTAATACAGTTTACGTTGTTATTAAGACCTGAATACAAAGATGGTGCCCTCATCTTCTTTGATTTAACAGCACTGAGCACATTAGGACTGGAAGCAACAGATTTCACAGAGTTTATTTCTATAGAATTAGTCACTCTCAGTGATCATTCAACTAATTCATAGAACTGTGAAGCATCATTATGTCTTGTTTTATTGCGTGCCTCACAGACATTGACGTGTTATTTTCAATGCCAGTCTGCTCGTGTTGGTTTCCCTGTGGTTAGTCTAGTTTCTTTTCATTAGCTTCTCATGCTGTTCTGTATATGGAAGTGAAAATGCCACACTGCAGTGCAGGTGCTGAGTCTCACCACAATACAGACTAAATGTTTGATTGGAGTTTGTTCTGAACAAAAACTATATTTTTCCTGAATTTATTCCACCTGTTAACCTTTTAAAGTGTAAAGCATGAGCAAAAAAGACTCTGGTTTTCTAGCGGCTAGCATACATGTTAATAATGCTAGCATTACGCCTTCCAAGCTAGCTTATATAACACTTTACCAAGCGATCATTTTAAAAATAACAGATGACATGTCAAAATATTATTCCAGTTTATGGTCACACTTTATTTGGATGGTCCCCTATAGATGATCTACTAATACTTTCTGGTGATACTCAGTTGATTATTAACAATAATCATAAAATAATAATCAAGGTTAGGGTTAAGTTTAGGAGTAGGTGTAGGCTTTGCCTTGAAGTTAGGTTTAGGGTTAGGGACAGATTTCATACAATCTTTCACATGCAACTTACTTAAACTTCAGTTGCATTAAACAGATATTTAGTTAAATGTTAGTTGAAGATAAACTGAGCGTCTACAAAGCATCTACAGTGGACCATCCAAATAAAGAGTTACCGTGCTGGTGCTAGTTGACTTTATCCTCATCTGGAGGAGTTAAATAGAGCTAAATAGTACTGCTTATACTGGAGGGTGAGAATTTGCAACTGACAGACAGCTTTAATAAATAATTTTGTCTATAGCATCGTTGCCATTGCAGACAGTGTGAGACAATTTCTCTTTAACATTGAAGGTTGAAAATAGACCCTCAAAAAGGCCTCATCACTGCCTCTGAGAGGTTTTCTAACATGCAGACAGACACTGATTTGTTTTTTGGAATGCCAGTCAGTTCGGGTTTTTCCCCTGTGGTCAGCCCAGGTTCTCTTCATTATTTTCTCATGCTGTTCTGCATTGCTTTTGACAAATGGGATTATGCACCATTCTGTATTTTAGACCAAAATTTTAAATGGCTTATCTGAACTACATAGCATACTGTGATTCCATAATACTTTACTAAAAATCATAAAAAAAGGCTTTGAAAATACTTCTATAACACTGGCAAAAATGCAAAGATTGTGTTAAAATGAAATGGTTTGTCCATCAGGCTCTGTTTCTTTCTGTGATAGAGACCAGTAAGAGAGTTTGAAGTCTGCATTATCAGAGTATCTTGGGGCAGTCATGGGCTGGAGGTTAGGGAACGAGCCCTGTAACCGGAAGGTCGCCGGCTCAATCCCCCGAGTCAACAGTATGTGACTGAATTGCCCTTGAGCAAGGCACCTAACCCTGGGCGCCATGGATAGGGCTGCCCACTGATCCAGTCAGGTGTGCTCACTGCCTCCTAGTGTGTGTTCACTAGTGTCTATGTGGTGTTTCACTGCACGGATGGGTTAAAATGCAGACGTAAAATTTCCCTGTTGTGGGACTAATAAGGGACACTTAATCTTTTAAATCTTCAAGTGTCAGCAGATGAAATTTAATGCTTAAAAAAATTTAATGCTATTTTAAGAAATCTGCTGAAATCTTCACTTCATGAGTTCCGGCACTATAGTAATAATTACTCCCAGCACTTCTTTGGGAATTTTAATACTATGCTGTTCATAGACTTAAGCCCACTTAAAAGCCTACTTGAACACTCACTTAAAAACACTGCTTTAGGGTATCACTGATTAAACAGGCTTGAGGAGAATAGCAGGACTGTCTTTAATGATGTATGTCAACATGTGGATAGAATTAGTTTTAGCGCTCACAGAGACGTGGCTATTCGCGACAATACCAAACAAAAGCATCAAACCGGCCAGCTTCTCCACCTACCGTCAGGACAGAACTCTGGACTCTAGTAAGGGCAGAGGTGGTGGGTTATGTGTTATGGGTGAACTCTCGATGGGGAGACCATCCAGACATTGAACTCATAACACTCAAAGTTTGACCTTTTTTTCTGCCCAGAGACTTCAGCTCAGCCATTCTCACTACAGTCTACATTCCACCTCAGGCAGATGAGGCACGTGCATTGGAAGTTTTGTATGAGACCATTAATGGACTTGGGAACATTCACCCTGAGGCTGTTTTTATTGTGGTTGGGGATTTTAACAGGGCAAACAGGAGAACAGACTCTTGACCACCGCTATACTGCACTCAAGAAGAGCTACAAACCCCTCCCCCGCCCTGCCTTCAGCAAAGCTGATCACACCTCCATTCTTCTTCTGCCCGCATACAAACAAAGACTGAAACACACAAAACCAGTTCTCAGATCAGTCTATCAATGGAGTGAGGAGGCCATCTTCACACTTCAGGACTGCTTCGAATCCACAGACTGGAAGATGTTCTGTGGTGCAGCTGGTCCAGGCATCAATGAATACACTGACTCCATTACAAGCTACATCAATAAATGCACGGATGACATTGTACCAAAAATCAATGGCAGAACTTTTCCCAACCAGAAACCCTGGATCAATGCTGAGGTTCGAGCCAAACTAAGAGCTTGGGCCGCTGCCTACAACTCTGGTGACCTGGCTAGCTACAAGAAGGCCAGATATAACCTTCAGAGGACCCTCAGGCTGGCCAAAAGGAGCTGCAGGAACAGAGTGGAATATAACTATAATCTTGGTTCTGATCTCCGACGTATGTGGAGTGGACTGCGTGTCATCACTGACTACAAAGGAGATACGATCTGTGATAGGGACTCGTCCTCTTCACTTGCAGATGAACTAAATGCAAATTATGCTCGTTTTGAGGTAACTAACACCCCACCTGCTGAAAAACTCCCAGTAGATGAGAAGAGCTACACTCTAGCCATTTCCCTGTCTGAGGTGGTGAGATCCTACAGGGCAGTTAACCCACACAAGGCACCTGGTCCCGATGGCGTCAACAGTTGTGTACTTAAAGCATGTGCCAACCAGCTGGCTGAGGTTTTCACTGACATCTCTAACCTCTCCTTAAGACTGTCATTGATTCCCACGTGCTTTAAGGAAATCATTTAAGGAAATTGTTCCAGTCCCCAAGAAACCAGCTATCACCCTGCCTGAATGACTACCGCCCTGTTGCACTGACATCAACAGTCATAAAGTGCTTTGAGCGGCTGGTCAAAGCTCACATCTGTTCAACACTTCCAGCCACCATGGACCCTCGCCAATTTGCATACCCCTCCAAAAGATCTACAGATGATGCCATTGCACTTACAATACACACTGCCCTTACACACCTAGACAGAAAGAACACATAGGTAAGAATGCTGTTCATAGATTACAGCTCAGCATTCAACACAATCATCCCTGCCAAACTCATTCCTAAGCTCACAGACATGGGTTTAAACTCTCATCTCTGCAACTGGATACTGGACTTCCTGACGAGCGGACCTCAGGTGGTGAAAGTTGGGAACAGCTTCTCTTCTACACTGACTCTGAGCACAGGGACCCCCCAGGGATGTCTGCTCAGCCCCCTCTTGTACTCCCTGTATACACATGACCATGTAGCCAGACACACATCTAACATCATCTTAAAGTTTGCTGATGACACCACCATCCTAGCCCTCATCACTGATGGAGATGAAATAGCCTACAGAGACGAGGTCAGCGCTCTGTCCCATGGCAGCAATCTCTGTCTCAACATCAGCAAAACAAAGGAGAAGATTGTGGACTACAGGAAGCTGCGGAGGGGTGGTCACTCTCCCCTATTCATCAATGGAGCCGAAGTGGAGAGAGTCAGCAGTGTGAAGTTCCTCAGTGTACACCTCACTGATGACCTCACCTGGTCCCTCCACACCAACACTATTGTGAGATCTGCTCGTCAGCGTCTTTTCTTCCTGCGTAGGCTCAGGAAGTTTGGTCTGTCTCCTCAGATCGTTACCATCTTCTACAGATGCCCCATAGAGAGCATCCTCACAGGCTGCATCACTGTCTGTCTGGTATGGCAGCTGCACCACCTGCGACTGGAAGGCCCTTAAGGGAGTGGTGAGGATAGCAGAATCCATCATAGGCAACAAACTACCAGCCTTACAGGACGTTACAGGATGTTTATCAGTCCCGTTGCCTGAGGAAAATCAAAAAGATCCAATCAGACGGCGTCACCCAGCACACGGCCTGTTCACCATCCAAAGCATACAGTCTAGAACAACCAGGCTAATGAACAGTTTCTACCCACAGGCTGTCCAGCTTCTGAACAAGCTGTGAAGCTGTGGGTCCTTCCCCAACTACCATTTCACTCAGTCACTTTGTCAGTATTATTATTATATCCTATCACTGCTATGGACAATAACAAGTCACTAAGTTAAAATGTATATATATTCTTCACAGATTATCCCTTGTTTAATATCAATTTATATACATTTTTAGGTCTCTACATAGGTCCCTTCAGTCTCTATATTTTGTGTATATTTTGTGTAGAGTGATTAGCTGAGCCTCACCACAAGCATTTCAATGCATGAATGGCAAATGACAAATGTTGTGCAAATGACAAATAAACTTGAAACTTGACAAGAAACAGTTCATCACAAATCAGCAGCACCGAACAGGTAAAAAAACCCCACAGAAATAGCTCAATTTAACTCAG